CGTGGCTGCCGGCCGCCATCTTTGTTGGCAGTTAATTTGCATATCGCCCTGATTAGCCAATGGGAAGCATAGCAGAGGTATGGTTAATTACCCTTTTTGTCTTTTATTAGATAGGATATCCAACTGGATTTATGTTTACTAGACAAATGGAAAAATATGTTTGCATGGATATGTAATATAATATATGTGTGTATATATGTGTGTTGGTATAGCTCCAATGGTCAGCTGGTTCTGTGAGAACAAGGCCAGAGAAGACCTGCAACACCTTCTTATTTAGGAATTGGTTCCTCAGTCAAACCCCCTAGGACAGCGGTTCTCAACCTGTGGGTCGCGACCCCTTTGGCAGTCGAATGACCCTTTCACAGGGGTTGCCTAAGACCATCCTGCATATCAGATATTTACATTACAATTCATAACAGTAGCAACATTACAGTTATGAAGTAGCAACGAAAATAATTTTATGGTTGGGTCACAACATGAGGAACTGTATTTAAAGGGCCAGAAGGTTGAGAACCACTGCCCTAGGAGAACCCAGACCTGAGATCTGCAATGAGTGGTTTTCCAAAGCAGGGGTAAGCTGTCTGCTCCCTCTGCCCCCGGAGAGAAGCAGGACCAGGTGGGGTCGCACGAAGCAGCCAGGCAAGCTTGGCTCCTGGGGCACAGAGGCAGCCAGGAGGCAGCTCTAATTGCTAATCAGAGCAGAATCCTAGACAGGGGTTTGGGAACCTGGTTCGGGTAATGGCAAATATGTTGTTTTTCCCCCAAGTTGAAATTAAATATAATTGGTAATAAAATGTTAGGAATTTGCAGCTCTGCAGGAGCCAGAGAAGTTTTGTTGCTTAATTAGGATTATCTGAGGTGAACTTAGAATTTAATTCAGTCTGTTATTGTTGTAAATTGACTTTATAGTTATTCTATAAAGGGGGGAAAGCCACCACCGATACCTCTTCAGGAACCAGGTCATTGTGAGCTTGGCAGAATCTTATGGACCCAGCAAACTAGTTCTGTTTTCTCCAGCTCAATGACATGGATGGGTGGCCGAGGGTGACTGTCCTTGCCCAGCCCAGGGTGTGCACAATCCAGATGCCCTGACAGCCTATGCAAGTTGACAATGTTATCAGGCTGTAAGATGCTCCCCTCACTAAATGCCATGCTGTGGTTTGGAGACGTGGAACTTTGGGTCCTTTGCATAAACCATGGTGCAGAGTACAGAGGAAAGGATGGAGGTGAAGTTATGAAGTCAACCATGGTTTATTTCCCAGTGTCTCCAGTTCTGCCTTTTTTCCTTTCTTCCCTGAGTGTTGTTGAGTACCTCCCCAACTCACTCCCCTTCCTTCCTTCCTTCCTTCTTTCTTTCTTTCCTTCCTTCCTTCCTTCCTTCCTTCCTTCCTTCCTTCCTTCCTCCCTCTAGCCCTGCCTTCCTTTTTCCCCTCCCCACTCTTTCCTTCCCTCTCTCCCTTCTTCCTTCCTGCTGCTTCTTGTTGACTCTGCCTGCGTGCAGGGCCCTGCAGGGAGGATACAAATGCAAGCAAACTGGACAGGACCCTGCCTCACTACGTTGCCCTCCAGCCACCCATGGAACTTTCAGCTTCTCTCTCCCTCCTCACAACTCCCTATATGGCCACCATGTTCACACTGTGATATAAACAGCTGATTACAACTGATGCATTAAGTCTCTGCTTTACAGCTAGAGATAAGAAATCCTAAGTCAAAGAAATGAGTGATCAATGGTGGAAATCCCAGATATCTGAAAACAGATTGGAGACTTTGGGAGGTGAAGCAGGAAAATGATTCTTTGAGAGCTCCTGGAAACAAACCTAACCAGCACCCAAGGGGAAAAGAATACCAGTTCTGCTCTCACCCTCCAAGACTGGGCTGGAGAAGAATATTGATTCTAATCCCCTGAACTCTGGGGGGCAGGACCGTTTGGAGCCTGGGAAAACAGTGGTTCTCTATCATAGAGTCATGCTCAGAGGTGGCGTGCAAGTGGCTGCAGAATGAGCATGTCTGGGGCCAGGAGGCCTTGATGAGGACCCTGGGTTGTCTGTGTGAGCTGGGAGGGTTATCGAAGCTCTGCCTGTGTCTGTGAAATGGGGTGTCTGTGATGACTAACTGAGGTCATGGCTGTGAGCACTTGCATGTGGCAGGTGCTCTCCAAGGAAGGTCATGTTCCTTGAAACCCTTTGGTCCCCAGCGTGGGCACTGCCTGCTGGTTTCAGTGTGAGGGCTCCCGGGTGCCTCATACCCCATAGCCCCCCCCACCCCCGAACAATCATTCATCTCTGCTGTTTGCCTCCTCCTCAGGGAAGTGTACCGCGTGACGGAGAGTCTGCAGAGGGAGAAGTCGGGACTCCTGAAGCAGCTGGATTTCCTGAGGTGGGTCAGCGCTGTGTGTGTTCTGAGAGCGCATCCCAGATGCCTCAGGTGGGGACCAGGCTGAGTCCTCCCTGCCTACATACCGGAAAACATAGCCGCTGAGAGAGCGCCCTCATTTCCCTGCCCTTGACATATTGTTCAGACACCAAGTACCACCCTCTCCATTATGTTTGGTCCATCTACACACGCCCACTTCCCTCTCCAGTTTATACCCCTGTGGGCGGACTCTCCCTCGTTCTTCTCGGTGTCTCTCACAACACCCTGCACGGCCCTTGTCAAATAGAAGGGGACCTGAATTTATTGAGCATCTACACTGTGCCCGCCATACTACCCCTTTCATCTTCAACAAAACTTAGGAAAGTAGGTAGGGCAGTTGTTAATACAGGAGTTAGCTGATGAGGAAGTTGATATTAGAGAAATGAGATAATTTACCAAAAGTGACACAGCTACTCGCTGGTGGAGCCAGAATTGAGATCCACATCGGGTCGATTCTCTTTATCCTGCCGTATTCCGTTCATGTTTGTTGAATGAGTTCAGGCACACCTCATCTTATTGTCCTTTACTTTGTTGTGCTTTGCAGGTATTGCGGTTTTTTTTTACAAATTGCATGTTTGGGGCCATGGTGCATCGGGCAAGTCTATTGGTGCCATATTTCCACAAGGCTCAAATGATGTGTCGCATTTTTTAGCAATAAAGTATTTTTTAATTAAGGTTTGTACATTTTTTAGACATCATACTATTGCACACTTAATAGACTACAATATAGAATAAAATTATATTTATATGTACTAGGAAACCGAAAAATTCATGACTTGCTTTATGACGATATTCCCTTTAATTGCCATGGTCAGCAATCTGCAGGGTCTGCCTGAAAATGAGTCAAAACAGCACCAAGAATGGCGTTTCCTTCGCCTGCTAAAGCTCGCTGTAACTTCAAAGCTCATTGGTCTGGAATGCGCCAAAAACCCAAAACCAAACCAAACCCCACCAAACCTGTGTGGGAAAGGTGGCATTTTGAGTTCCGCCTCTGAGGTTTCTAAGTGCCTGCTGCCTACCAACCACCTCCTGGGGAGTGGTGACCAAGCAGAAGGACTTCGGTTCTGATTTGTAAAGGGCAAATGCTTTTAAGTCAGGTAAATGATGAAGCTTTTGTTTAGTTTTTTTGTTTGAAAGCAAGGTAAGGTCACTGTGTCTCACATCCATGATGCTACCAGATTGAAAAGTGCTTCAAATTGAATGCCCTTCAAATTTACTGCGCTTAATGCCTGGTTCCAACAGGCCCCAAAGGCCAAGTTCTCATCCACTTAAGAGAAGATGTTGATTCTTAGGAAGGCGTTGGTGAAAGGAAGAGAACAAGATGTTCAAGGCCAAGTTTTTGTGTTTTTCCCCCTTCTTTCTATTATACTTGGAAAAAAAGAAAAGGGCAGATTCAACGTGAGTGAGCAGAGGGGAGTGACAAGGCCGCACTCTGCCAATGCTTGTGGGTCTTTTTAAAGGAGAGCAGCCTTTGTGCAGAATCACGTGGCTGGAGCTACTGCATGGTGACCAAGCTCCGCCTCTGCCAGCTGGTGAGAGCCCAGATGTGGAGGGGAAGCCCCCAGCAGGTTTCTCTTCCACACTGAAGTCTCCAGCTAGTGACCCAGAGCAATGGGGAAACGGAAGTTGAGGAGAGAAAGTTGGGAGAGGAGAGGTGTGGGGAGAACAGTGGGAATGTGGAGGGGTGGTGGTGGTGAAATCAGGACAATGGCCGGGATGTGACCGGATGAGGAGGGGACTGCCCTCCTAAGGGAAATGGAGCAAATGGAAGCAATTTCAGGAACACACCCTTTGCAGCTGCATCTGGTTCTGTCCCAGCACTGCCCCTCATTACTGTGTGTGCCCTTGGACAATTGACTTAACCCGTGGGAGTCTTAATCTCCTGCCCACCTCTTGGGCTTCCTTTGAGACTCAGATGATAGATGTGAGTAGCAATCCCAACAGGGAGTGATGGGAATGAAAGTGGATGCATGTAAAGAGTCTAGCATTTCTTTAAGTACTGAAGCCTCTGCATGGCGGTGGCTGCACAAAGCATGAAACAACAGCAAAGCCCCGAGAAAGATGTTGCTCCCAGGGCTCCCCAAGTCCTCACCCAGATGCAGGGACGCTGTCACTCCTGCACAGAGGGAGGCCATTCCAGCATGAGAAGCTCCCTTTCCATCCTCAGGGTTTATAAGAACCTTCCTCGTCCCTCCCGCTCACTCTGCAGGCCCTGGCTGTGTGCCTGCCTGCTCACCAGATGCACAGCTGGTGCAGAACAACCCCGGGAACTGAGGTCCGTCCTCCGGCCTGTCTCAGACCGGCGCCTGCTGTGTGCAGCTCACTTAGCGGAGTGCCTGCCACGGTCCGTGCCCAGTAAATGGCCATGTTACAGTGATGACAGTCAGACCATGGCTGTGCCCTCCCTTTGGAGAGATCTAAATGTGTTATAATATTTCTTATACAGTATCTCATCCTCCCCTCCCCATCTAGCTACTTTCCATTTCTTTAATCACTTTCAACAAAACTTACAGAAAAATTGTTTGCCCTTATAGTCACTGTCTCCATTTCTTTTCCTCATATTCTCACCCTCTAGTCAGGCTTTTTCTACCACTATTCCACTGAAAGTGGAACCAATGACCAACATGTTAATTAAAATATTGACCAATTCTCGGGCCCCACCCTCGTCCCCCGCAGTCTGTTCTTGGCACTGCGCCTATAGGGCTCCTTTGAAAACCTGGGTCAGATCAGGACACTCCTCTGCCTCTCCACACCCACCCCCCACGGCTCCATCTCTCAATTGGAGGAAAAATCAAAGTTCTTACAATGGCCCACAGGCCATGAACGGCAGGTCGCCCTCCTCCTCTATCTTTTCTCTGACCTTGTCTCCTAATGCTCTCCCTCTGAGCACGCTGCTGCCCTTCGTTCTGTTCCTCATGCACAGCAGGCCTCCCCCAGCCCAGGCTGTGCCCCGGCAGTCCCCTCTGCGTGCCAGGCTCTTGCCTCAAATATCCACAGTGCTCCTCTCTCCTCCTCTGAATCTCTGCTCAGATGCTGCCTTCTCAGCAAGCTCCCCCCGCACACACACACACCTCACCACCTTATTGAAACACCACTCTATCCCTGGCACACTTTATTCCACTTTCCTGCTTTTTCTCAGAAGCAGTTATGCCTGCACTAAAATACAAATTATCTGAGGGCAGAAACTTCTTGTTTTGTTCATTAGTGTAACCTTCATAGGCAGAACGGTGCCTGGCACATAGTGGGTGTCCAGGAGACTCTTGTTGGGAGGATGTAGGCACAAATGAATGGTTCACAGAGGGCACAAGGCCCCAGAGCAACTCACAGGCCCAGAGTGACTCCTGGGCACCCTCTGGGGGAGGCTCCCTGGTGATGGCATAGACCAGTGCATGATCTGAAGGGCATGGGTGCCAGGAGGCCATTCTGTCTATCCCCTTCCTCTGAGCTGATTTACACAGACTACCCTCTGCCATTAACCACAACCCCTAAGGAAAGAGGTTGCATCCGCGCCGGGCCTTCCACAGCACGCCTTCCTCTGTACCACCCCCTGGCGACTACTGCTATTGGCTCAGTGGACCACAAACTCCATGTTTGAACAGATTCCCCTTTTCCATCGCAGGGAAAGGAACAAGCACCTCCGGGATGAAAGGGACATATGTTTTCAGGTAAGTGCCCGGTGCCCCCTCCTCTGGGGAATGACAAGGACTGTGGTCCAGTGGCAGCCAGCGCCTGAGCCGGGACTGGCCGGCAATGTCCTGAGGTTTGGGGTCTGCTTGCTCCTTTCTGTGTGGCAGGACCATGGCATATGCTTTTTAGAAAATAATAAAAATGCAGGGGACCTCCTGGGTAACAGTGTGTTAATTTCCCATGAAGTCACACACTTCCCTCTTAGTATAACAAGGCAAATAATTGGGAGGGTCACACATTTCTTGGATGCAGAAATGGTAGTTCTGTCCTGAGATGACGCAGTTGAAATGTCATGATCACTTTTATTTTGTTTTTTTTTAAATATATTTTACTGATTTTTTACAGAGAGGAAGGGAGAGGGATAGAGAGTTAGAAACATCAATGAGAGAGAAACATCGATCAGCTGCCTCTTGCACACCCCCTACTGGGGATGTGCCCACAACCAAGGTACATGCCCTTGACCGGAATCAAACCTGGGACCTTTCAGTCTGCAGGCCGACGCTCTATCCACTGAGCCAAACCGGTTAGGGCTGTCATGATCACTTTTACATCACAATGCTCGCAGCGTTTTTCTTCATTAAAATTTTTATCTCTTGATGAAAAATTTGCATTTTAATTCAAAATTCAAAATGTATACTTTACAATTTACATAGTAAATTTTATGAGCAATATTTTTACCCTTTGGGGGCCCCTGCTTCTCCAGACCTGAGCACAATACTTACATATTTTCCCAAATAACACAAAATTCTATATTTATTTAAAATATTCCCTTTGGGCTGCATTCAACAAAATCTAGGATCCCACATTCCCCTACTTTCTTCCCTCTTAGCAGCTGTTGGATGCTCTCAAGGGAAGAAAAATGGTGGCAGGACTGATTGATGTGAGATTTTAATTATTAGAATGATCACACCATGAAGTTCATGTGTGTCCTTGGACAAGTCATTTGCCTCCTTGGACCATGACCCTGCCTACCTCATCAGGAAAGGGAATCCCTCTTCTTTATTTTTTCCCCCCAAAATTGTAGGGATTTTTGAGAAAAACTTTTGGCAAGAGGAGGTCTCCCACTGGACCTTTGGCTGAACAGTGGCCTAAATGCAGGCAGCAAGGGGCAGCTGGTTTGCCCTGAATGAAGTGCACCCGGTTTAAACTGCGAATCCTGGAGGGATCTTGTTCCACCGTTTCCTTTCTATCACTGACTGGCAGCAAACACCTCTGCGCCACCTGAGTCCTACCAGAGCAAGGCTTCAGCCTACATGTGTGTTTGATGATGATAATGGTTATTATTTTAGAAGTAACTGCATTTATTTTAAAACTTCCAACCGAATGTCATCCTAATCCCTTGACATTGCTTTCCCTCACCTGCCAAACTCATTTTGCTTTGAAAAGGGAATGGGCTTAAGAAAGAGGGATAAAATCATGTTAATTCTTTTTTTAAAAATCATGTTAATTCTGGGTAATAATTAAAGATTAACTTGGAATCATTATAGTCATATTTGCAGAGGCCCTGGGAGTCCTGCCAATTCCACCACCCCCCCCCCAGGATCATCAGGAATCATGGGGATGGCTGGTTAAGGAGAGATTCCTTTAGGGACTGTTAGGGAACATTGGCAAAGAGGGTGCAAGCCCCCACCACACCCAGGCTCTTCCTTACAGATGTGTGAGCCATTTATCCACACCCAGCCCCCGCCCACAAAAGGTTTGAAATACCCTATGCTAGCTTAGTAGCTGTGGACGGGGGCTGGGTGAACTGATCCTCTGGGCTGGTCTCTTTCTCATGTCCGAGGCTTTGGGAATACCTGGAGCTAGAGCCACACACAGAGTGTGATTTAAAGAGCCAGAGTCTTTTCTGTCCATAAGCATTCTTCCTATGCTTTCCACATCTAGCTCCTCTCACTTGTGCTCTTGCAAATTACCAATAGTCCTGTGAAGGACAATATCATGGACCCCAGGCTCTAAACTGTGTGTTGGCTCATTTGATTAGGTTATTAGACAGGAAGTGGAGGAATTCTGGTGAAAATGCCAGCAGGGAGAGCAGAACATCACTTGCTTATTCAAAGTTTTGTCTAAAGCCTGACCTAGGAGGTGGGAAAGTTGAGCCCTTTTTGCTCAAACTTTGGGACAAACTGGCAGGCATGGATCTGAGGGCCTTTTGTGTTTCTGCAGAAAGATAAGGCAGCCAAAGCAAACACAGCTGCTGCCAAGGCAAGCTGGAAACAGAGATCTGGCTCTGTGATAGGCAAATATATGGATGGCAGAGGGATCCTTAGAAGGTAAGTTGTCCTCTATTTGTTCACTTGTTATCTGTTCGCTGGTCTTGTACTTCTTGGGAGCAGGCCCCAAGCCTGTGCTATGCTGAGTGCAGACTGGCCCTTGGGAAGTGGCACTGGTGGGGAAGCCTGGGGTCAGCTGTGCTCACTCCCCTTGAATCTTGGAGGACATATCCCTTCCTGTTCTGACATCCAAGGAGGAGTCTGGTGCAGAGCAAGCCCCTAGGACAGGCCATTGTCTTTTCTGTCCCTCCCGTCCTGTCCAGTGTGTGCCTGCAGAGAGTGACCGAAGCAGTGCTATAGATCAGCAGAGGAGAGAGAACAAGAGCGGTCAGGGACAGAGATGGAGGGTGTGGCCTGACGATGCCCAGTTGTCAGTTGAGCAGAATGGATACACTTGGTTTTTCAGACACATGACTATTTGGGCTCTAAAGGGCAATTAAAGTGCCCTATGGAATCTCTAAGAGTTGAACTCCTTCACAGACAAGAATAGGGCCTGTGCTTGACTGATTCCTTTCAATGATTCATATTTAATTAACTCAAAGATGACATGTTTTGTTCCTGTTGGATAACACATAATTGCATCCCCAAAGGAGGAGTTTGTTGTTTATTCAGAGACCAGCCAATCCCCTTCTTCTTGTTGGCATGTGCTCCATCCACATTGATGGCCAGAGAGAGGTAGAGGCAGCTGGATCCCTTAGTATTAGATCTGGGGACAAAGTGTGCGAACTTGCTCATCTAGGAGACACTGAGGACAGCAAGCATGCAATACCAGGTGGGCAAAGGGAGGTGGCTCTGGGCTGTCAGTCAGCTGATGAGTCAAGTCTTTGGAGCTGATCATTGTGAATTTCTAAGTATCTGAACAGTGAGATACAATTTTGGAGCTAAGTTTGTGCAATAATAGTTGGCCTGTTGGTTCCTCAGAACAGAATCTATTCATTGATTGATTCAGTCAATAAGCATTTATCAATTCCCTCCTCTGTAGCAGACAGTTTTTTGAGTTCTGTGAAGATTCCAAAGATAAATTAGACATGAGCCTTGCCATTAATGTCTATTATCGAGTGCCTGCAATGTGCAGATACTGCGCTGTGTGCTGGGTATATATACAGTGGTGAGCTAACAGGCTCTAGGGCCACTTCCCCCTGACTGACTTGCAGGGTCACTGAAAGAGAAAGGAAAAGGAAGGAGAGGCAGATCGAGATACTCTGGCTTCCTTCGACCCAAAGCCCGTGCTCTAGTGGGCAGCTGCCGCTGAGCCAGGAGACATCTGACTAGTGGGGACATACAGTTAGTTAGGGCTGGCCTTGGGACCAGAGTTGAGGCTATCTGATTGTTAACCCAGGATGCTTTATTTATGCTCCTTTCTTCACACCCTTTTCTTCTCTATCATAGCATTTCTCACAACTTGTAAAAATGTGTTTAGTTGTGTCATTATTGCTCTAGCCCTTCCACTAAGCTGAGCATTCCTCAAGGACAGGGGAAGTGTCCATTTGTTCATGACTGTGACATTAGCTTTATACCTGATAGATCATCATTATTACCTTCACTGTCATCACCATCATCATCATCACCTTCATCATCATCACCTTCACCATCACCTCCATCAACTTCATCATCAGGCTCTTGTATAAGCGTGTTGAGTGAATGAACTAAACAATGCTGGGTCTGGTTTTCCCTTTTCCAGAGCTCTGTGCCCCCAAGATGTGGTGCTCTTTTGTCATCTGTCAGAAAAGCGCTGTGGCTTCCATATGGATACATTTTACAATTTTCTTCCCCCTCTTCCTTCTTCCCCACCCCAAACAGCCAGTCAGAGGAGGAGGAGGACGTGTTTGGCATGCTGAGGAGGAGAAGCTCCCTGGGCCTGAGTGGGTATCCCCTTCCAGAAGAGGAGCCAGGAACCAGGGAGCCAGGGGCTGAGGGTCCACGCCCCCGGGCACTCCGCAGAATCATCTCCATTGAAGAAGACCCCCTGCCCCAGCTCCTGGATGGCAGCTTTGAGCGGCCGCTGAGCAAATGCCCAGAAGAGGAGGAGGTCTCCAACCAGTGGGTGGAAGGACAAAGCCAGCAGGCCCAACCTTCTCAGGGGGAACTCATGCCCACATCTCCCCGAGGGCAGCCTGTTGGGAAAGAAGCTCTGTCTAAGGTAAGGGCATATCACACCTTGATTTTGGAGGTCACTCCTATGCCATGTCCCAAAGGCAGCTTAGAAAATCAGATGTGACTGGTCTCATGAGTCAACATATTTGTGTCCTTCAAATACTACCTTTCCCTGCTTAGCTGAGTGTCTTGGGGGAGACGCAGGGGTCCTGGCAAATTCTCCTTATAAACTCTGATGTTTGCCCCACTCCCTACCCTATGCTCTTTTCTGATTCAGCGTAAAGCACCAACCCCAGGTCCCACCTAAACTCCCCACCAGGTCTTCCTCTAAACTCTGTGGGGAGAAGGAGGCCATATGAACCATCTTCCTCTGGCTCATAGTGATGATGTTCCACACCTTGTTTGTGACCTAAGCCTAGGAGCCTTCCTTGGGCCCTGACCCCTCCACTTGACCCTCCAAAGCAGCTTTAGAAATGTCCCGGCAGTGTGAAAGAGGCTCCCCTGCACACTAGGCCAGCCCTTTAGAATTAGCCCTTGCCACCTGGAGCATTTCCATGGCTGTATTAGCATGTGTGACAGGAAGACTTCTCTGGCCACTGTGCAGGGACATGTGGTGTCAGTTATCACCCTTGGGTCTGGATTAAGATTCATGCCTATGTGTCACTCCTCTGAAGGGTGGAATGGTGGAGGCCCAGGTCCCAGGGAGGGTGGAGAACTGGTGGCACCCACTGGTGGGTGGGGTCCCTCCCCCTACTTGTCCTTCCACAACCCTGTCAGCGCTATACATGCAGGCATTGGGCACAGATGGGGTTTTCAGTACCCCATGCATACCCCCAAATGTGAAAGAAATGTCAAGAGGCCAGCGGTAGAGGGAAAAGGCTAAGCATTGTGTCTGCTATGGCATTTGATCCTTGCAGTCATCTAATGAGGCGTCGGAGATGTATTCTTCCTTCTGGCAGACTGGGAAGTAAAGTCCAAAGGGGTGCAGCCTGGCCCAGCCTTCTCCCTCTGCTCTCACACATTGAGGCTCCACCAGGCTGGGCTGCCTTCCAGCTGGGGACAGAAACTGCGGCAACGAGGAAATATGATCCACCAGCAGCCACAGCAGCCTCAGCAGAGGCTCTGCTCCTTGGAAGGTGGCATGAGGCAGGCCCTCCGAGCCAGGCTGCTGAGCCAGAAACTGTGCAACCTTTCAGGACAGTAGATTGATAGCAGGAATCATGAACTTATAAATACCACGTCCTTTGAACCAGCACTTCTCCTTCTAGCAATCTTTTCTCAGGAAATAACCAAAGTCAGACAAAGATTTAATGCAAGAATATAAGTGTACTAGAGGCCCAATGCATGAAATTCGTGCAAGAGTTGGCCTTTCTTCCCCCTGCTGCCGGCTCCGGCTTCCCTCCAGCACCCGGTACCCGGGCTTCCCTCAAACCCCCGGGTTCATCTGGAAGGTCGTCTGGAACGATGTCTGGTCTAATTAGCATATTATGCTTTTATTATTATAGATAATAGCAAACAATTGAAAATCTAATAGGACATAAACTATAGCATATTAATTCAGTAGAATATTACACTGCTGTTAAAAATAACATTTAAAAAATAGTGAACCAGAGAAATATTTATAATTTAATAATATATGAAAATGATAAAATTATAATATCTCAAGTCATTCTCAATAAAACATATGCTCATTCATCTATATAGAAAAAAAAGCCTGGAAGAAATGCATCTGAACATGAGTGGTGACCACTGCAGGGCAGTAGGGTAGATTATAATTATTATTTTCCTCCCTACTTTTCTGTATTTCCTAATTCTAAAAAAAAATGCACATATTAGTTTTATTTTTAAAGTGGTGGGAAGGAGATTAGCAGACCTTCCTCCATTCTCTTGCCCCAGTCCGGTTGGCTCACTGTGGATTAGCCCCAGAAGGGACACGGGTTAAGTGCACGAACACTGGGTAGGAGTTTGCTGCATCTGGAAGGTGTGTCCTGCCGCAGCTGAACCATCAATAAGTGTGTTTATCTTCTTTGGCCTGAAAAAAAAAATAGTGTTCTGTCCCATGGTGGGGGTGGGCACAGGGCTAACGTCAGGCACAGCCTCTGCAGCGGGACCTGCTCCTCCTGCCCTGGGCTTCTCATGTCTCCCCACCCCTGGGCCTGAGGACACAGATGCTGCTCTGAGCTTTCGTCTCAAACAATTACAGGGAGACAGAGGCTGAGCAGAGACTGGCAGAGAGCCCATACCCTTGGCACTGCAAGAGTAAAGAAAATGGGCAGGGGTCATAGTTTTTGAGTGTGGAGCATTTTTTTCTTTAAGTTTAAATTCCTGAAATTGACCTTGAATTCCTACTGAAGTGCTGCATGGAATTGATTTCTCCCCAAAAGGCTGTTAGTGGCTTTTCTCTGATACTCAAGTGCTGCTAAGATCTGCTGCCACTCCATTATAGTATTTGCTCGATGAGAGGAGCTAATTCCCCCAAATCCACTTCTAAATAGATTCCAAAGGGTTTCCTCACTTGAACCAGCAGTGCTGGGCTGGGTTTGAAGGCAGGATTGGGGGGAGTGAGCAAAAAGCTCTCCCAAAGGAATGAGGGCTCAGTGGAGAGCAATGACCCTGTGCGGTCGGCAGGTCCTTACTCTGCCTCTCATTCCCTCAGTGTCTAAGCAAGTCCATTCCCCACTGGGCTTCGGCATCCCAGACGAATGGGCAGCGGGCTCAGCCCCAGCCCTCTTGCTGCTGGGCAGGGCAGGAGGAGCAGCAGTGCTGGGGGATTTGAACGCGCTGCCAGTGGCCTGGTGTTAGCATTTCCCCTTCTACGAGGTGGAGATGTCTTGCCTTTGTTCCCAGGGCAAATGGGGATCCTGGATGGAAGCTGATGAGATGGGGCAGAAGAGCAAAGGGCAGGGAGGAAAGAGTATCCCTGTCAGTCTAGGCCAGTGATGGCGAACCTTTTGAGCTCGGCGTGTCAGCATTCTGAAAAACCCTAACTTAACTCTGGTGCCGTGTCGCATATAGAAATTTTTTGATATTTGCAACCATAGTAAAACAAAGACTTATATTTTTGATATTTATTTTATATATTTAAATGCCATTTAACAAAGAAAAATCAACCAAAAAAATGAGTTCACGTGTCACCTCTGACACACGTGTCTTAGGCTCACCATCACTGGTCTAGGCTTTCAATGAAAGGGCAGAAACAAGAGCCCTACCCCAGCCTGGGCTGTCTCTGCCCCTGTGACAAAGATGTCTTTTTTCTATCTCCCCTCCTCCCTGCAAACATATCTCCTATCTCCCCTTTCACCACTCCTGCTTCTGCTTTAAGCCCAGCTCAAGGCGTCTGCGGGGTGGATCCTGGCTCTCCTCCCTGCTGCCCGAGCACTTGGAACATTGTGCTGAGATTGTCTGTTTACACGCCTGTCCCCTTCTTTCCACCACAAGCCAGGCCTTCTCCTCATCCCTGCATCATAGTAGGCAGACAACAGGTGCTGGATGAATGAATGTCCCTCTTCCCCTTGCTGATGCCCTGAGCCCAAAGCTACCTGCATCTGCGGCTGGGTGGTCTCCTGGTGCCAGTGTGGAGGCCAGGTCCCCACTGTCCCCTGCACACCGTAGGGATGGGAGAAGGGCAGGTGGTGGCAGGGGCAGGGCTTGCGGCCACACTGTCTGCCGTCCACAGGAGGAAGGCTCTCTCTCCACCCCAGACCGGCTCTTCAAGATTGTGTTTGTGGGCAACTCCGCCGTAGGGAAGACATCCTTCCTGAGGAGATTCTGTGATGACCGGTTCTCCCCGGGCATGACAGCCACTGTGGGTAAGTTCTCACCCCTAAACTGGGTCCCGCCACCTCTGGGAAGGGGAGGTTGTGAGAAGGGGGCCGAGGGAGGCACTTGGAGCTCAATGGGAGCAGCTGTGGGCCCTCAGGGAGGGGAGGCCAGGTCTGCTTGCTCCACAGTGAGGCTGAGGGACAGGTGCAGTCCATTCCTGCAGAGGGCTAGCTGCTAAGCTCACTCCCAGTGGGACAAGACCACCAAAAGCTTCCCATGTCCAGCTTGAGTAGAACTGAAGTTGCCAAAGATGGACTTCGGCCCTTTTACCTCTCTGAGCCTTTCTCTCTTATTGTTTCTTCCCACTTTCAGCAGGGCCCTGAATCTATGTTCCTGCTGGGGCTTATTCCCTTCCCCCCTCCCCCCACCCCTGTAAAAAGAATAAGAAAATACATATAGAATTAACACCACATAATTAATTTTAAAAAGCTAATTTTATTGTGGGCTTTCCTTGAAAAAAAGTACTAAGTTCTTTTTTTTTTAATCCTCACTCAAAGATATGTTTCATTGATTTTAGAGAGAGGGGAAAAGATAGTGATGAGAGAGAGAAAGAGAGAGAGAAAGAGAGAGAGAGAGAACAGGAGGGATGGAGGGCAGAGCTCTAGATGGCTCCTTTACGCAGATGACAAGACATTACCCGTCCTGCCTTCTGGGCCTGCCGGGTGGCAGCTGGAGTTCACTGGAGAAGCCCATTAGGCGCAGCTATTAGTGGATGATATGGCTTAATGTGCTCCCACTCCTGTGTAATATTTTATTTAGATGGAGGACTTTCTCCCTTCTCCAAAAGTTGCTCATTGCATTGGAATATGTGGTGAGATCACAGGCATCTAGACCTTTTTAGCTTTTACCAAGTTGAATCACCCAAACAAAAAATAAGTCCACTGAGTGCCTACTGTATGCCATTTAACCACACTGATAAGTCAACTATATTTGAAAATATATGGATATATCTGAATATTTACCATGGGCTTTTATATTCATCATTTCACTCTACCTTCATACAACCCTGGGAGGCAAGTGTTGTTATCAGCCCAATGGACAGATCAGGAAACTGAGGCCCAGAGAGGAAAAAATAAGTCCACTGAGTGCCTACTGTATGCCATTTAACCACACTGATAAGTCAACTATATTTGAAAATATATGGATATATCTGAATATTTACCATGGGCTTTTATATTCATCATTTCACTCTACCTTCATACAACCCTGGGAGGCAAGTGTTGTTATCAGCCTAATGGACAGATCAGGAAACTGAGGCCCAGAGAGGTGAAGAGGCTTGTCCACATTCCCATCAGCTGGTTGGTGCAGATAGTGGCCTCCCCTCTGCCCCCACTCCCCTTCTGTTCCATTCCACAGTGTCCTTCGTAACTTTGAGTTGTGTGTGCTCAGCACCCCATGGGTTTTGAGGACACTTCCCTGCCACGGGAAGTGGACTTGATGGGTGCAGGCAGGGGAGGCTGCTGAGGTTCAGTGGGGCATTAGAAGTCCTGGCTCTTTGTCTCTGCTCTGCCACTAACCAGTTATGTGACTTCAGGGGGACACGTTCCCTCTTTGGGCCTCAGTTTTTCTCATCTGAAAAATTAGGGAAATGAACTGGGTCACACAATACTGCTTCCAGGCCTGAGCCTCTGTCCAGGCCATCTTTTACCTTGGGGTGTCTGACAGCTGGCCCCACAAGACAAACTTTTCCTGCCCCAGAGTCCTGACTGGGGAGACTCCATGTTCTTCCGCTCATCCTGAACTGGCCCTTCTTCCAACTTTCCTCTACAGACGGGTCTCCTCCCACCTGCTTCAGGGTGCCATTCTTACTGCTGGGCCTGTTCCTATGGTGTTTCCACATCTGGGATATCCTCCTGTCCCTCCCTTCTGCTCCATTTCACCCCAAAACTGAGAGCACCTCAAGATGAAGAATTGGGACCCTGAAGGGAAGAAGAGCAGAGCCCGTGAACTCATCCCAGAAGAGTCTGGCCTTGTCTGCCCTGGAGAAAAGTGGCTGGGAGTGAGCCAGGTGCACTGAGCTCAGGAGTGAGCATGGTGACACAGGAAGCAATGGCTGAGGAGGTGGACTGGAATTCCTGGGAGATCATTCAGTGGGGTGGGCCCCGACAAGACATGGCTCAAGCACAGACCATGAGAGGCAGGAGGACAGATTCCAAGCGTTTAGGTGCCTCTCCTGTTGAAATCAGGGAATCAGGATCCATTTACATTTCCAACTTGTGTCCCTAAGATGGAAGTCTCTAAAAAGAGAAAACCAGACTAATTTGCACTTCCCAGGGGGCCAATTATGGAAACACCTACAAGTTAGGTGCAGGAACTGCGGCTCAAATTAGTGTTCCAGCTACACAGCAGGCCTTGCTCTGGTGCACCTGTCAGTAGGCACAGTCATAGGAGCCACTTGACAAATGCTTCTGTAAAAGGACAGAAGAGCCACAGAGTCCTGGCCCTGGAGGGCCAAAGCGGTCCAACCCTAGATTGGAGCTCTAGCCAACCACCTGTCCAGGGCAGCAGCCCCTGAACCATGAACACAGTACAAACAGGGACTCAGCAGCCCCTTAAAGCTCACCTCCATCATCAAAGGGGACTTCCTGGCTTCCCACTGCCTCAAAGGACCATGACTGGTACTCGACTCCTGGCTTGTGCATAATGTAAGTTCTACAGTACAACAGTGTGACTTGAGCACCTGCCTGCACCATCTTAGCACCGCATGATTCCTTCACAAGCAGGTGTTTGGGCCTTGTGGGTGTCAAAGGATGGTCTCTTAGAACATCAGAGCTCATTTTGTAAATGAGAAGACTGATTATTAAAGGCAAAAGCTCCCTAGAACCCAGGACTCCGAGTCCAGTGTTTTTCCACTGCCCCACATTGAGTCACCGTCCCTGCTTTTCCCAACAGAATGCACTCTGCTCTTTCTTGGCCACCAGTTGGGTTTCTATCCCACTCCCCATCTCTACAGAGAAATCCCTAATTGTCCCCATGACAACTTGCAGACACTCCCACTCCCACATCCGTCTTGCTCTAAATGACAGCTTGGTCCTGTCTTGTCACCCTTTCTGGAGTCCATCAACCAGCTCTAACTCGTTACCATCCCACAACATAACACAATTCACGGTCACAGAGGCTCCGGATTTCCAGCTGTCATTCAGGAACCAGTTAGGTTGCAAGTTGGAGGTCACCTCCATGTGTTCATTGAATGCTACAGCTGAACAGATCCTGAGCACCAACTTACCCCTCCACACCCTCCATCACACCTCAATTTACAGATGAGGACAGTGAAACTCCCCCAAAATGAGATGAAGCAATGTCATCAAGATCACATAGCTGGTCAAAGGCAGGACTAAGACAGGAACACAACATGGTCGCCTGGCTCCTGGGGTGTTAGAACTGGTGATGGTCTTAGAAGTCAGTGTAGTTCAGGCCCTCAGGTCCCATGTTATTGTGTTGCCTCTTCTATTGGAATTGACTCCTTGTGTCTCTACCTTCCCTTGCCTCTCCCTCCCATGGACTTATCTGCTTCCTGGGCCTGCCTGTCTGAGGCTGCAGAAAGAAGCACCAGTACCTGGCAGGGACTCTCACCAAGCTCACCACAGCACAGAACCTGTTTTTTTCCAGCACTCCTTGGTCCACCTCACTCTCTGCAAGATAAGCATCCTGTCCTCCAGCAAAGCAATCAGCCAATGAGGTAGAGCTCAATCATAAAGAGCTGAGACCTGTCTGCCCCTCTGCCTTCAAGCCTTTCTTTCCACCAAGAAGAAGGCTCTGTCCTTGGGCTTCCCACCTTGGGCTGGCTGGTTTCAGATCAGGCCCTGAAAGTGTGTTGACAGTGCTGGCATTCTCCTGAGTTGTTGCCAGAAAGTAGGCACCCCTTCAGTCTCCCAGAGTATACACTGGGGAAACACTTCCACTTTTGGCTAAGAAGAAAGCTCACCTGGATTCAGCTCCCAGCCAGTTGTAATCCATTTGGATGGAAACACTTAACCCTGGACTTTCCAGATGAAATGAAGCTGCCAGGTGTTTCTGTGCCCAGGATGCTGGTGAAAAAAGAAGAATGAGCCTCAGAGCTGGGTTTGCAACACACTGCAACTGATGAGCTTGGGCGAGGCATGCATCTCTGGATTCTTGTTTCTTTATCTCTCATTGGTGTGGTGGGTGGGGTGGTGTGCATATAGATATCTGTATGCATGTGTATGTATGTGCATGAGTATGTGTCACGGGGGAGCACTGTGATGATGGAGAGATAGCATATGAAAGTTAGAAATATCAAGCATTCTACCAATGGGTGAAATCACTCTTTTCTCTACCTAGAAAATGTACTGCTCCCTCTGCCCTCATCTGCAAAGCACAGGGCCTCTAGAGTCATTCTAGGGGTGATGACTCTGCCTCCTCTCCTCCACTCATGTGTCCATAATGCACTGGCCTTTGCCTGGGGACAGTGGCTGGGATGATCTTTTCCATTGGCTGCCTCTTTGTTGTCTGTTTTGTCACTTCTATCTTTTCCATGCAAGCTGCTATTGCTGTCCTCCCTTAGCCCTCCAGGGTCAGGACCTCAGAAGCTGGGCCCTTTTGGAGGTGGTAGGGGATACCCTCTGTTTCCAAGATTTGATACCTTAAGAGGGAAAGACTTTTTGAACCTCATTAAGCATTTGTGAACATTCTTAAATGATGGCGAGAGAGGAATGTCTGTTATCAAAGAACTTCTGAGGGCTGCTGTGGGCTCAGAATGTGTGTACCTGAGCTTGCTCCCTCTCTCTGTGGTCCATGACTTCAAGTGGGATTGCAGCGTCAGAGAGACCATTCCGAGTGGCCCAGTGGCTGGGATTAGGAGCTCTGATGTCACCTCAAGGGTGAATGCTGCCTTCATCCTCTTCTCTTGTAGCCCTCCCCCCACCTGCCACCCCTTCCTGCCCTCCTGCTCCCCCTGTTCCTCCCCTGGCTCTGTCACATACATTTGCATTGGCTGATGGAAGTCTGAAAGTATGATCCATACCCAGGGATATTTGAACTTTATTAGGGGAACATTGAAAATGATTTTAGGGAGAAAGGAAGGGAGGGAGGGAAGGAAAAAGGAAGGGAGGAAGGAAGGAAGGAAGGAAGGAAGGAAGGAAGGAAGGAAGGAAGGAAGGAAAGAAGGAAAGAAGGAAGGGCAAAGGGAGGAAGAAATTTAAGGACAGTCTTTCCTCCTCCTCCATCTTTGTGGTAAGAGAGTAAATTCATGAATAAAACAATGTCTTTGCATTGGCATATTGCTTTTACATTTGAACCTGATTGTAGTATCCCTAAGGAGGGTATGGATTATAGTACAGGGAGGAGCCTGAAGTTCAGAGAGGTTAAGTGATTTGATAATACGTAGCAGAGACAGAATCAGGCCCCACACCTCCCTGTCCAGTGCTCTGTCCATTTCCCCACATCGCCTCCCAGGAGCTACACAGGAGTTGTCATCCTTGACCTGATGTGATTCCAGACATGTTGGGGCATCATGTTCTTATTTGGAAGTAACAGGCCTGTTCCACCTTGCAGGCATCGATTACCGTGTGAAGATGGTACATGTGGGTGACTCTCAGGTGGCCCTGCAGCTGTGGGACACGGCCGGGCAGGAGAGGTGAGGAGTCATCCTGATGTAACACTGCCTCCTCCATTCCCCCCAGGGGCCGAAGGTTTGGGTTGCAAGGAAGGGCTGTGCTCCCTTGACCTGTGGCCCTTCAATGGCAGGTATCGTTGCATCACCCAGCAGTTCTTCAGAAAGGCCGATGGTGTCATCGTCATGTATGACCTCACAGCCAAACAGTCCTTCCTGTCGGTCCGGCAGTGGCTGAGCAGCGTGGAGGTGAGCTGGTGACCTTCCTGGGAGCACTATGAGGACCTCTTGCTTTTCTCTCTTCTCTGCCCATCTCCTGCCTGTTCCTCTGCTCTTTCAAAACCTTCTCCAGGAACAAACCGATTCACACATTTGTTTACCCAAGTGGCCAGTACCAAGCTAGCTACTGGGGACTCTAAAGTGACCAAGACAGATACAGTCCCTGCTCCTATGGGGCATAAAAAAATAGATTGTACCAATAATTATATCATTATGATTTCAATAAGAGCTATAAGTGAGTAGGACAGGATTAGAGGAGGAGCACAGAGTACAATGTCAAGGAAGGTGTCCCTAAGAAATGGGTGTTTAAACTGAGTTACAATTGTGCTGTTCCCCCACTCTCACCACCGCCTCCCCAAACCCCTGCATTTTCTAGCTTCAGCAGGCCCAGCTGTGCCCAGCCCAAAGTGACACCACACAGTGTTTTGAGGCCTCTGTCACAACCCTTCACAGGAGGGGAGGTTGACCCACAATATGAGGGCCCCAGGTTCACCCCAAAGTCACCCTAGGTGGGCCCACAAGCAACAGCACTCTTGTTTGAATTCTAGATTATCTCTGAGACACTACCTCTTGACTTATACTTGTGATATGTCCCTTTTAACTTCCTGACCATCTGCATGCTCTTCCTTTACCACTTAAATGCAAACTTTTCAAGGCCAATGGCAGAGTGGGCAAGCCACTTACTTCTTTTAATAGGGCCTTGCTGATTCATTTACAAAGCAATCAGGTAGGGTGTCCCATTTCCTTCCACCAGCAGAATTCATGCATTGTTCATTTATTTGTTCAAAACACTGCCAGCCACTCTCCTAGGATCTGGGAATTAGAGCAGCAGGTAGATGAAACAATGTCCCTGTCCTCACGAAGCTTACATTCAACCTCTATTCAAGCCCATTAGACCTTCCGTGGACCCCTTACTTATTTACCACACTGACACATTGCTGTAAAGGACATAGTTCCCAGCGTGGATCTGTGCTGCATGCACTCTGTGCCTCCTGGGAACTGAAACTGCATCTTTGTCATAGTAACAAAGTGCTTACAGGGGGCCTCACAGAACTAGAGCTCAACCCATATTTGATGCCTGAATGGATGCTATATCATTGTGCAATCAGAATCCTGGAGTTGTCCATTTCTTCATCCTTTTGGCCCTAATATCTATGATTCCTCCCACCAAAATCTGTTGCTCTTATAGTTTGGACTGGCTGTGCCACTTCTTTCTCTACTCTTTTAGTTCTTTCTTCTTTCTTTTTTTTTTCTAAGAGAGAAGGAAAGGGAGAGAGAGAGATAGAAACATCGATATGAGAGGGAGACATTGATTGACTGCCTCCTGCACACCCCTACTGGGGCTCAATTCTGCAACCTGGGTATTGTACCTTGGCCAGGAATTGAACCAGAAACCTTTTGGTGCATGGGATAATGCCCAACCAACTGAGCCTCACTGGGCAGGGCTCCTTTCTCTACTCTTAATCCCCATCCTTCTCATTTCCCCCCAAATAAAGAACAAGAATGGAAGTCAGATTCTTGGGTTTCTCAGAAATTTGCTTAATACAAATTCTTTCTTAAAATCTTTGAGCCTAAAAACAGTTATAATAGAGAAAATGTACATGTTGAGATGTAGTGAATGGCTCTACACCAAGCTATTAATGGAAACAAATGGTATGGGTCATCTGGAAGTGGATCTTATTTGAACTTTGGGATTTCAGACATGACTTTTCTTTGACAGCACCAGTGATTTATATTCCTCATTGAAGTTAAGCACCAGAGACTTTAGTGCTTACCTGATACAGTGGTTTTCAAACTTTCTCTGGTGGAACCCTAGAAGCAGAGTGACACTCCTAGGGACAGAGGCAGGGCATGGAAAGGTATAACCATCACAGTTCTGGGCCCTCGTCCCCTCTGTCAGTCAGAGCCACTGTAGTTCTTTCAGTCTGGTATATTGGAGGTGCTGGTACAATTTTGCTAGGTAAGAAGGTTTCCCTTTGAAAATCACTAATCTAAGACAGCCATCTCATTTTCAAACTAAGATGTTGAGGATATGCCTTGGTCAGGTGGCTCAGTTGGTTAGATCATCGTCTCATACACCAAAAGGTTGTGGGTTTGGTTCCTGGTCAGGGCATATACCCAGGTTTTGGGTTCAATCCCAAGTTGGTGCGAGTATGGGAGGCAACTGATCACTATTCTCTCTCACATAGATGTTTCCCTCTCTCCCTTTCTCTCTCTCAAAATCAATAAGAAACATATCCTCAGGTGAGAATTAAAAAAAAAGAAAGAAATTGGGGCCATAACTTTGAGGGGAGTGGGGGAAGGTCAGCCATTCTTTTTCTAGCCACAAACATTTTTTTGATATTTTAGTTTTCCAAGTACAGTTTACATACAATATTGAATTAGTTTCAGGTGTACAACATAGTGATTAGACACTTATATTCCTTAAAAAGTGATCATCCTGATAAGTCTAGTACCCACCTGTCACCACACGTAGTCTGTTCTCTGTATCTATTAGTCTATTTCTGTATTGTTTGTTTGTTTATGTTGTTCTTTAGATTCCACATAAAAGTGAAATCATATGTAATTTATCTTTTGCTGTCTGACTTATTTCATTCCGCATAGTAATACCCTCTAGACCAGGGGTGGGCAAACTTTTTGACTCGAGGGCCACAATGGGTTCTTAAACTGGACCGGAGGGCCGGAACAAAAGCATGGATGGAGTGTTTGTGTGAACTAATATAAATTCAAAGTAAACATCATTACATAAAAGGGTACGGTCTTTTTTTTTTTTTAGTTTTATTCATTTCAAACGGGCCGGATTCGGCCCACGGGCCGTAGTTTGCCCACGGCTGCTCTAGACCCATTCATGTTGTCTCAAATGACAGGATTTCATTTCTTTTTATGTCTGAGTAATATTCCATGTATATATGTACCACATCTTCTTTATCCATTTGTCTCTTGATGGACACTTAGGTTGCTTCCATATCTTGGCTATCCTATATAATAAAGAGGTAATATGCAAATTGACTGCCATGCCCTCACACAAGATGGCTGCCCCCATATCATCACAAGATGGCTGCCAAAAGATGGCCAGCATGGGAGGGCAGTTGTGGGCAACCAGGCCAGCAGGGGAGGGCAGTTGGGGGCAATCAGGCTGGCAGGGAAATAGACATCGATCAAACTGGCAGGGGAGTGGTTAGGGGGTGATTAGGCTGGCAGGCAGAAGCAGTTAGGGTTAATCAGGCAGACAGGCAGGTGAGTGGTTGGGAGCCAGCAGTCCCGGATTGTGAGAGGGATGTCCCTGTGGGATTGGGCCTAAACTGGCAGTCGGACATCCCCCAAGGGGTCCCAGATTGGAGAGGGTGCAGGCTGGGCTGAGGGACACCCCTCCCCCAGTGCTGAATTTCATGCACCAGGCCTCTAGTTATAAATAATGCTCAATGAACATTGGGGTGCATATATTCTTTTGAGTTAGTGTTTTGAATTAGTGTTATGTACCTGAAGTTGAAACATTGGGGTCATAAGGAAGTTCTATTTTTAATTTTTTACAGACCCTCCATACGGTTTTCCACAGTGGCTGCACCAGTCTGCATTCTCACCAACAGTGCACAGGGGTTTCCTTTTCTTCACATCCTCACCAATGCTTGTTGTTTATTGATTTATTGATGATTGCCATTCTGACAGGTGTGAGGTGATAGCTCGTTGTGGTTTTAATTTGCATTTCCTTGATAATTAGTGAAATTGAGGATCTTTGCTTTTGTGTATTGGCCATCTGTGTTTCCTCTTTGGAGAAATGTCTATTCAGGTCCTCTGCCCATTTTTTTAACTGGATTGTTTGTGGTTTTTTTGGTGTGAGGTTGTATAAGTTCCTTATAATTTTTGGATATTAACCCCTTTTCAGATGTATCATTGGCTAATATCTTCTCCCATCCAGTAGTTTGTCTTTTTCTTTTGTTGATGGTTTCCTTTACTGTATACAAACGTTTTATTTTTATGTAGTCCCATTTGTTTATTTTTTCTTTTGTTTCCCTTGCCCAAGGAGACATATAAAAAAAAAATATTGCTAAGAGTAATGTCAAAGAGTTTATTTTCTATGTTTTCTTCTGGGATTTTTATATTTCAGTCTTACATTTAAGTCTTCAATCCATTTTGAGTTTATTCTTATAAGAAAATGATTTTCATTCTTTTGCATGTATCTCTCTCCAGTTTTCTCAACACCATTTATTGAAGAGACTGCCTTTACCCCATTGTATATTCTTATTTCTTTGTCATAGATTAATTGACAATATAGATGTGGGTTTATTTCTGGGCTTTCTATTTTGTTCCATTGCTCTGAGTCTGTTTTGGTGCCCGTACCATGCGGTGTTGATTACTGTAACCTGTAGTATAATTTGAAATTAGATAGCATGATACTTCCAACTATGTTCTTCTTTGCCAAGATTGTTTTGGCTATTCAGGGTCTTTTGTGGTTCTATGTAAATTTTAGGATTATTTGTTCTAGTTCAGTGAAAAATGTCATTGGTATTTTGATAGTGATTACATTAAATCAGTAGCTTGCTTTAGGTAGTATGGACATTTTAACAATGTTAGCTCTTTCTGTTCATAAGCATGGTATATGCTTCCATTTATTTGTATCTTCTTTCATTTCTTTCTTCATTATCTCATAATTTTCTGAGTATAGGTCTTTTACCTTCCTGGTTAAATTTATTCCTAGGTATTTTATTGTATTTGATGCAATTATAAATGGGATTGTTTTCTTAATTTCTACTTCTGATCATTCATTATTCGTGTATAAAAATGAATCATTTTTGAATATTAATCTTGTATCCTGCTATTTTACTGAATTTATTTATTAGTTTTGATAGGTTTTTCTGGGTATAATCTTTAGAGTTCTCTAGGTATGGTATCATATCATCTTTAAATAATGACAACTTAACTTCTTCCTTTACAATTTGTATGCCTTTTATTTCTTTCTCTTGTCTGATTGC